AAAGCAATATATGTTTTCTGGTGTATTTTTATGCATGCTCACCAATGTAAATAATTAGTTTGTCCCGTGTTCTCTCCATGCTTTTTTTAAAAATATAGATTAATTATGCAGAAAAGTACAACAAACTACAATACACAGCCTAATGAATCTTACACTTGTGACTGTCTCCAATGTCAATTAAACATTGCCACCATCCACACCAGCCTTCTTTCTCTATTCTCCAAAACCAGCATCTGAACTTTTATAATGAGACCCTCTATCTGTTTCATTTTACCACCTAAGCATACATTCCTGAATAGTGCCATTTCCGTGGCTTTCAAATTTTACTTGAAGGGAAACATATTCTATGTATTCTTCAGTGTCTGCCTTATTTTTCTCAGTATTACATTCATAATCCCTATCCTGTACTGTGTTTGTTCTTCATTGTATACTTATATGCCTTTATATGAATGTGCCATAATTTTTTTATAATTCTGCTTTAGATATCACATGATCATCACTTTATCTACTTTTTTCAATGGTTTCCAGCTCATTTGACCAGGGATTTTGACCTCTGCTGGCCTGTTCATGTGGGGATCAGCCACCCTGTCTGGTGAGGTATTGGAAAGGGCCCAGGGCAGTCTCTGGTTGTGTAAGTCTGGGGTGTTTAAGGAATAAGTAGGGGATGAGCCCATGTTTCAGGGACCAACTTCAAAACAGCCTTAGTTATTGTCAGAGAAATTAGTGTTTGCAACAATTGTGACTAACAGCCAAGTCCACCCCAGCATCTTCCATATCATTCACAACCACCAGAAAGGCTGAAGGTATCTTGCAATTGCTGAACCAAAATTCCTTTGGCAACACATGCTACACATCTAGGTCATTCACTTGGAACAATGTCGCAAGCATTTACTGTTTATCCTGAGCCACTCTTTCATTCATCCCAATGGATTCTGGACCCCAGCTGTCCTTGGCTGTTTGGAGCTGAGATCTGTACCATTTATTCAAGGTACAAAATTTAAGGAGAGCCCACTGAGCACCACTCACTGTGCTTTAGGATGAACATAATGGCAAGAAAAATTTTTAAAGAATTTATCTCCCCTCAATGTTCCCACTTTAGAAGTGAAGATAAAAAGAATAAAATAGAAATTGTGGATGTTGGAGATGTTCAATGACACAGTCTATAACCCAAGAAGAGAAGGGTAACTTTCTGGGGAGGAGAGATGGATAGGCCAAGGAATTAAAATCAATTGGGCCCAGCTAGCATGGCTCAGTGGTTGAGCATCAACCTATGAACCAGGATATCGGGTTCAATTCCTGGTTACACGACCAGGTTGCGGGCTTAATCCCCAGTGTGGGGCATGCAGGAGGCAGCTGATGAGTTATTCGCTCTCCTCAATGATGTTTCTATCTCCCTCTCACACTCCCTTCCTCTTTGAAATCAATAAAATTATATTTTAAAAAATAAATTGGTTAAGTAATTTCCTGGTGGACAGGAAATCTAAAATGCTATTAAATTTACATTCAGAGACTTAGTTCTCAAACAACAGATTTGATTTATTAGCTAGCTTTTAGATAAGATTGTAAGAGAGCTCCAGATAATATAGAAAAGAAGAAAATAGAATGCTTGCTCATAACTCGGCATCATAGGTCAGGAGGGTACTCCCAGATAACTCTCCAGGGCTATTTGTTTCAATCTACCTTGGCTTACAATAAAAAAAAAACACCACAATATCTTATTATTTTTATTATTAATACACTCTAATTTTTAGAACTGTTTTATATTGGCTGAAAATTTTGGAACAGAGAGTTTATTTCCTATATACCCTCTATCCCCACAGTATCCCCTGTTTATTAACATCTTAATTAGTGTGGAACATTTGTTATAATTGATGAACCAATATTGATACATTATTATGAACTAAAGTCCATGGTTTAACTAGGGTTCAGTTCCTATTGTGAAATTCTGTGGTTTTGGACAAATGTGTAATGCCACATGTTCATCATCACAGTATCATGCAAAGCTGTTTCATTGCCTCAAAAATCACTGGTGCCCCAACTATTCAGCCATCCCCTCCTATCCTGAATCTTCATGATTACTGATATTTTAATTGTCAATATGGTTTTGCTTTTTCTATAATGTCATATATTTGAAATCATACAGTATGTGGCTGCTTCAGAATGGCTTCCTTCACTCAGCAATATCCTTGTCGTTTCCTCCATGTTTTCTTGTGGCTTGATAGCTCAATTCTTCTTCTTGCTGGATAATATTCCACTGTATGGGTGTGCCACAGTTTGTTTATTCATTCACCTTTTGAAAGACATCTTGGTTACTTCCAGTGTGGGGCAATTATGAATAAAGTTTCTAAAGTCATTCATTTGGAGGTTTTTATGAAACTGTAACTCTTCAACTCACTTGGGTAAGTATTTCTGATGACTGCCTGTGTCCCGGACCAGCAACCCAGGCATGGGTTGAGGCATGGCAGGGCCATCTCTCCCTGTCCCCTTCTGTCAGAAAATCAGAGTCCCAGAAGCCTGGCCCAGCATCACTCAGTTTCACTGGGCAGAACTGGTGGGACACATGTTCACTCTTGGTTGGAAGGGGCATAGGGAAAGCAAGGACAGCACTGTCAGAATGGCTTAGAGGAGATCAGACACACATGGGGGTACTAGGCACCCTAAACCCAAAGCAAACTGGGCTCTGTTAGTTCAGAAGAGGGATTGGGTACTGGGTTGGACATAGTTGGTGCCTGTCCCAAACCCCTCACTTCCAACACTCTTGGCTCTAGACGTGTCTCTGTCCTCCTGATGTCATGTCTGTTCTGTGCTGTAGTTTTGCTCACGTGTCATGGTCTGGAATCTCTTTCCCTGGTTTGCTTGCTTGAACACTAGGTGTTGACATTCATTCAAATGCCTCATCTAAGGTATCTCGGTCCACTTCTCCTCTTCAGAAAGTTACCCCTCCCTCCTTGGGTTATACTGTGTGTCACTGTACATCTCCAGCATCCACAGTTTCTCTTTTATTCTTTTTGTCTTCACTTCTAAAGTGTGAGCATTGAGGGGAGATAAATTCTTTAAAATATTAAGGGAGAACCAAGATGGCGGCATAGGTTAACACCGGAGTTTGCTGCTTTGAACAACTACTTCAAAAGTGAAACCAAAAAACGGAAGGGACAGCACCCAGAACCACAGGAACGCCGGCTGAGTGGAAGTCCTACAACTAGGAGGAAAGAGAAACGCATACGGACACTCAGAGGAGGCGCAGTGCTGAAGTCAAATTCTGAGGTGCAGAGTGCGTGGAGTGGGCTGGCGGCGGAGGCGCGGTTGGCGTTTTCAATCGGGAGGGAGTCGCAGAATCTGAGCTCCAGATCCGGCCGAGTCTTTAGGGACCCAGACTCAAACGGGAGAAGCGGGACTGTCGGCTTCGGTCAGAGCGAGTGCAGCTTTCTCTCTGAGCTTTGCAGCGGGTGCTGGGACTCAGAGAGGCAGAGCCCCTGGGGACAGGACTGAGAGCCGCCATAACTGCTCTCTCTGGCCCACCCTGTTGATCCTGTGCGACCCGCCCTGCCCAAGCCCTGCACACAGGCATTTGCCGGATAGCCTCAGGCAAAGGCTAGATTAGCACCTCCCTAGAGGACAGAAGTTCTCTCACTGCTGACACAGCTGATTCTCATAGCCACTTGGCCTGGAGGTCAAACCCTCCCTGGAATTAGCTACAACAATCAAGATTTAACTATAAGACTGCGAACAAAGACCACTAGGGGGTGCACCAAGGAAGCATAACAAAATTCGGAGACAAAGAAACAGGACAAAATTGTCAATGGAAGATATAGAGTTCAGAACCACACTTTTAAGGTCTCTCAAGAACTGTTTAGAAGCCGCCGATAAACTTAATGAGATCTATAAGAAAACTAATGAGACCCTCGATCTTATATTGGGGAACCAACTAGAAATTAAGCATACACGGACTGAAATAACGAATATTATACAGACTCCCAACAGCAGACCAGAGGAGCGCAAGAATCAAGTCAATGATTTGAAATGCGAGGAAGCAAAAAACACCCAACCGGAAAAGCAAAATGAAAAAAGAATCCAAAAATGCAAGGATAGTGTAAGGAGCCTCTGGGACAGCTTCAAGCGTACCAACATCAGAATTATAGGGGTGCCAGAAGATGAGAGAGAGCAAGATATTGAAAACCTATTTGAAGAAATAATGACAGAAAACTTCCCCCACCTGGTGAAAGAAATGGACTTACAGGTCCAAGAAGCGCGGAGAACCCCAAACAAAAGGAATCCAAAGAGGACCACACCAAGACACATCATAATTAAAATGCCAAGAGCAAAAGATAAAGAGAGAATCTTAAAAACAGCAAGAGAAAGAAACTCAGTTACCTACAAGGGAATACCCATACGACTGTCTGCTGATTTCTCAACAGAAACTTTACAGGCCAGAAGGGAGTGGCAAGAAATATTCAAAGTGATGAATACCAAGAACCTACAACCAAGATTACTTTATCCAGCAAAGCTATCATTCAGAATTGAAGGTCAGATAAAGAGCTTCACAGATAAGGAAAAGCTAAAGGAGTTCATCACCACCAAACCAGGATTATATGAAATGCTGAAAGGTATCCTTTAAGAAGAGGAAGAGGAAGAAAAAGGTAAAGATACAAATTATGAACAACAAATATGCATCTATCAACAAGTGAATCTAAGAATCAAGTGAATAAATAATCTGATGAACAGAATGAACTGTTGATTATAATAGAATCAGGGACATAGAAAGAGAATGGACTGACTATTCCTGGGGGGGAAAGGGGTGTGGGAGATTCGGGAAGAGACTGGACAAAAATTGTGCACCTATGGATGAGGACAGTGGGTGGGGAGTGAGGGCGGAGGGTGGGGCGGGAACTGGGAGGAGGGGAGTTATGGGGGGAAAAAAAGAGGAACAAATGTAATAATCTGAACAATAAAGATTTAATTAAAAAAAATACATGTAACAGACATTAAAAGATTCCCTGGATTACAATAAATGTTGTGCAAACAACTGTAAAATAAATAAATAAATAAATAAATAAATAAATAAAATAAAATAAAATAAAATATTGCTCTGGCCATACGTTCATCCTAAAGTACAGTGAGTGGTGCTCAGTGGGTTCTTAAATTCTGTACCTTGAACAAATGGTCCAGGTCTCCACTCCAAACAGCCAAGGACAGCTGGGGTCCAGAGTCCATTGGGATGAATGAAAGAGTGGCTCAGGATAAACAGAAAATGCTTGTGACATGGCTCCAAGTGATTGACCTGGATGTGTAGTCCCTGTTGCCAAAGAACTTTTGGTTCAGGGAATGGAAGATACCTATAGCCTTTCTGGTGGTGGTGAGTCATAAAGGAGATGCTGGGTTAGGACTTGGCTGTTTGTCACAATAGTTGCAATATGTTTCTGACAATAAAGAGGGCTGTTTGAAGTTGGTCCCTGAATCATGGGCTCATCCCCTTCTCATTCTTTAAACACCCAGATCTGACATGGCCTTGGAAGTGGGGCCTACCACCATACGGGAAGCAACTCCTCCTTTTGGAAGATCAGGACTATGGTCTCCAGGTCTGGGCCACTTGACAGGCCTTCAAAGTATGGCCTGGGCTTGTGCCTGGGGCTGCTGAGGACTCTGTCATCTTCCTCCAGGTCTAGGCAGCTTGATGGGCCTTCAAAGTATGGCCTGGGCATGTGCTTGGGGCTGCCGAGGACTCTGTCATCTTCCTCCAGGTCTAGGCAGCTTGATGGGGCCTTCAAAGTATGGCCTGGGCTTGTGCCTGGGGATGCTGAGGACTCTGTCATCTTCCTCCAGGTCTGAGCCACTTGACAGGCTTTCAGAGTTTGTCATGAGCTCAGGCATGGGTGGGGTTAGGAGGCGGTCATCATCCCCCGTCTCTGAGCTACTGTCTCTGCGGTTCATTAGCCTGTGAAACAGAAGGGCCAGGTCCTTGTCCACATCGGGGTCTTGCTCCACAGGGTCCTGCTCTGACTCCAGGACCTCCTCCGTCATTTGGAACCTGCGCAGCCACACTGCGTCTTTCTGCTGGTACTTCTCTCACCTGGTCATGGGCCTCCTTCTTACTATCAGGTCCTCCAGGTCCAAGTCATCCTCGTCCAGATCATGCCTGCGGATGGCATTGTAGCTGGCCTCCAGGTCAGAGAAGACGATCTCAGACTCTCCCTCGGAGAAGCTATCCGTGGACTCCACCTTGGGGCTGGCCTGCATGGTGCTGTCCTGGTGATTGATGGGCTGGCTGGACAGGGAGAAGATCCAGATCTTGTTCACCTTGATGGTGGGTGTGCTGTAGGCCACCAAGTCGGAGACACTGTCACTCAGCTGTTTGCTACCCAGACCCTGGGTCTTCACAAGCATGTTGACCAGACTCGGAGGCTCCTTCTGGCTCCAAGTACTGAGGATGGTCCTCCTCTCTGTCTGCCAGCTTGAGTGTGGCAGGCCTTCGAAGTATGGCCTGAGCTTGGTCTTGTGGGGGCTGAGGATGCTGTCATCGTCCTCCATGTCTTGGCCACTGTCACTGGGATTCTCAAGGCTGTCATACGAAAGGTCCAGGTCCTCCACCTCTGGGACATGCTCCGTAGGGTCCTGATTCGAGTCCAGGACCTCCTCTGAGACACTGGATCTGGGAAGCAGCCCCATGACTTTCTGCTTCAAGTTTCATTGCATGGATCGCTGCTGCCTCTCGGGCTGCCCCAGCTCAAAGTCATGCTCATTCATGTCCTGCCTGTGCATGGCATTGTAGCTGGTCTCCATCTCAGAGGAGAAGCTCTCAGACCCCCCCTCAGTGTAACTATCCATGGACTTGGCCTTGGAGCTGGCCTGCATGGAGCTGTCCTCATGGTCGATGGGCTGACTGGACAGGGAGAAGATCCAGATCTCAGCCACCTTGGTGGAGACCTCCTTGAAGCTGCTGCAGAGATTCAGCATTTGGCCACCCTTGGGGGGGGGGGGGGGGGGGGGGGGGAGTCGCTGCTTTACCTCGGCCATGTGGATGGCGCCTGTGGCCAGTGTCTTGTAGCCCAGGATGATCCGGTTATTATAGCACGTCCTCTGCTGCAGCATGATCTGTAGCTTGTTGCCTTCTCTCTTGAGGAAGTGTGGGTACTGCAGGAGGAATGTCAGCGCCAGGTCGCTCTCCACTTGCCCGCTGGAGGGCAACACAATCTCATGGGACCTCAGGATGCCCTTGGAGCCCTGCATTTTCACTGCTATCACCATGGAGATGAGCTCCTTCTCCAGCTCCTTCAAGACCACAAGCTTCTTTACAGTCAGGCTGCACAACCTGGGCATGCAGCTGGGGCTGAAGCAGTCCACCTCACAGGTAGAGAAGAGGTTCATGGGCACTGGCGTGTTGAGCACGGTGGGTGTGCCAGCCAGGCCTGCAGGTGGTGAGGAAGCTTCAGCTGCTTGCAGCATATAGGCCTTTGATGGTCTCTCCCCCTATGGTGGGACAGAGGAGGGACATGATGGGTGGCAAGAGGTGGGACACGAGTGACTGAAGGAGAGTGTGGATGAAAAGGGGGTCACACGCCCACCTGTGATGCTCAGGTAAGGCCTGCATGGCGGCCTTTCAAACTCAGAAACCTAAACTAACTAAATTACAAAGTTTGGCCTGAAATTAAAACTTGTTAACTAAGAGAGGTTTATGGTGTGTAGTCTTGTGTTAGGCCAGAATCTTCCCTGACAAAGTCAATCTTTACCTTAAAGGAGCCTTTCTATTGTCTTTTGGCATCTACTGTAACATATCTTTGGGATGTCAAAGGGATTTTCCTTTTTCCAGACCCCTCAAAGCACAGGCACTGCTCTGTGCTCTGCAGAGACCACAAATCTGCTCATTGTTCTTGAGTTCATTGCTGACCGCTAACTATCCTACATCCACCTGCATAAAAGAAGTGTCTATCATTTTACTTTTTATCCATTCCCAGAGATTTCCTTGCTTTGCTTTCTCCCGCATCCCTAATCTATTATCTGTGTAGTTCATGGGACCCACATACATCTCCACTTTTGATTGTAATGTATAAAGTAAGGTGCAAAACTGCCATTTTCTAGAGCATTATTTCAATCCATTGAGCTTTTGCTTCCCAGCAATTGTTGACAGTTTGGCTCCAATAAACTCACAAAAATCCTGCACAGGTTTGAATGCTTCTTATCTTGACATTTACTTGGCATAGTGCGGCAGGATTCCAAAGAAGCTCACCTAGGACCACCTTGCAGACCCAACCTGGTGCCAGGATCCAAAAAAGGGCCCATTGAGCCCGTCAGTTCCCTGCCTATCAGAAGAATTTGGCTAAGTTGTCTGTTGGATCCAGACATCAGTACCTTCCCTTTCTTGTGGTAGAGAATCTGACTTTACTTGAGCTATATGTTTAAATCCTCAATGTAGAATTAAGGTTAAGGGTTGACAGAACCCAGGCTAAGGAAACACAGGTGGCTGGTTTTTAACTCTGGTGTTTCCATTGGCATTACTTTCTGAGAGTCTGAGCAAAAAACCTTCGCTGTATAAATGAGATAAAGGGGCTGTAACATATCTGGCCATGCCTTCTGGCCCGAATCTCAGGTGTTCTTAGGCAACTAAGAGTCTTTATGGAGTTGTCAGAGGACATTCCCCATACCTAGGTTGTGGGTTCGATCCCAAGTCAAGGCATGTACAGGAGGCAACCAATCAGTGCTTCTCTCTCACACAGATGTTTCTCACTCTCTTCCTTCCTCTTTTGAAAATCAGCTTTTTTAATTAAAAAAAAAAGTCAATGCCTGCCCATTTGCTCACTCTGACCTGTGTTCTGTCTCTCTGTCTCTGTCTCTCTCAGTAACTCACTCTAAAGAATAAGCCTCTGAGTTATGAGTTGCTAGCTGGAGAGATCCACATGGCCTAGCACTGAACGAGACCAACAGACAGAGAGGACAGACATCAGGCCTTCAATCCAAACTGAATCCCAAAGATGCCCCATGTGAGCTCAGAGCCTGGGTGACACAGATCCCGCCTCAGCTGAGACCTCAGTGAGAGACACTGGCAGTAGTACCAGCTGGGCCAGGCTGGATTCGTCCTCACAGAAACTGTGAGCTAATAGTGTGTATTGATTAAGTCTCTAGTAGAACTTAGGGTCTCTACAGAAGCTTCTTCCCTGGGCCTCCGGCAGTTTCTTCTCTGCTGTGTGCCTGAAGGAGACTTTTCCACATGCCCGGATTCTCTCTGTCCATTGCTCTCCTCCCTGTGAGGCAGGAGAGTAAACAATTAGGAGACAGTTTTGGCAAGTGGAGTGGGGAAACGGAGACAGACAGCCCATTCCCACTGGCCTCACCCAGCAGCACCCTGACTCACCTGACTCTTCTCCTTTGCATGTGCACTCACTCCATTAAGCATTGAGCCCTCAGGACAAGGAGGTTCTGATCAGCATCAAATAATCATAGGAACAAAGCCTCCAGTTTGTTGAGACAGCATTTTGTTCAAACTAGAAAGAATATCTAGGTCTCAGTTGTGTTTCAACTCCAGGACCAGAAAAGCACCAAAACCAGAAAAGGCGACACCATAGCTGACATCAGGACCAGTGATTCCTCCCTTCCTCTCCCCCCCCCCTCCCCCCCACAAGCACCAACCAATCAATAGAGACCATGGCCCTGACCCTATGTGCTAATTTTGATGAATCAGCATATTAATGGACACACCTGGAAAGTTGATGACTATTCTATGGAGATCCCCCCCCCCCCCCAGACCTCCCCTAAAATTCCTGCCTTTAGAAAACAGACAAAAACACTTAAGGCAAAGGACCCAGTGCACCTGCAAGCACAAACACACACTCTCTCTCTAGAGCAGTGGTTATCAACCTTGGCTGCACATTAGAATCACCTGGGAATCTTTTTAAAATCCTGATTTCTGGGCCTCATCCTCCGGAAATTCTGTTTGTTATGGGGTGAGGCCACAACATTAGTAACAAAGAAACAGAATTTCTGGAGGATGAGGCCCAGAAATCAGGATTTTAAAAAGATTCCCAGGTGATTCTAATGTGCAGCCCAGGTTGAGAGCCACTGCTGTAAGGGCCCTTCTTTTGTCTCTGAACTTGTTTTCTGAGTCCACACAGCCCAGCTGGCTCACTTCTGCCTCCATGACTCTCCCTTAAAGGCCAAGGCATCTCTCTGGGCAGCCCCCATGAATCTTCTCCTCCAGTGTACTTTCGTTTTGCATGCTAAATAAACTTTTGCAGCTGGCTAGCCCCAGGAGGGAAAGGGCGTGCTGGAAAGGGGAAGGGAGCCTCCAGGCGAAAGCAGGGTCACGGCCTCATTGTTCCTGGAAGGGGTGCCTCCCTCGGACCTGGCCGGAGGAGGACTGTGGAGTGGGAGGTCATGGGGACACGTCGGTCACGCTTCCCCAGCACCACGCACCGGGGGACATTTGTGGTGACCGTGGGAGTGACCGTCTGGACAGGAGGAGGCGCGGCGCCGGAGGCAGAGGGATCCACACACTTGGGTCAGGAAATGGGGGAGCCTGGGTGGGGCCGGGGGGCGCAGTGTGGCACCAGGGACCCGGAAGGTCAGGGGAGAGCTCGTGGGGCTCCACACCCCTGAGTGCATGGCGGAGCCTCGCCCGGGAGAACCAGCTTCGTGATCGGTGTCGCCCCCGCCAGGTAAGTGTGAGCGCGCGCCCTCCTGGCACCGTGCAGCCCTCGCGTCCCTCCTCCGTGCACTCAGGGTCACCACCCCCGGCCCCCGCACACGCACACGGGAGACCCCCCCTCCGCCGCGGGTCCTTCTGACCGACCGCCTGGCGGCAGCGGCACCCGACCCAGCGACCCGCAGCCACGGCGCCGACACCTGCTTCTCGCTCTGCGGCCTCTGCGGCGGGGTCCCCGCCGCCCACCCGCCTCGCTCTCTCGCTCGCCCCTGGCCCAGAGGACACCACGCGCATCCCGACCGGTCTTCGGAGGGCAAAGGGAAACCGTGCCCCGCACCGGGGAGTGTCTGCGGGTTTAAGGGCAACAGTCCTCGTGGGACTGGGCCCTGGGACGGTGGTCGGAGCTGGTGCGGATTCCTGCTCCTCCCGCTGCTCGCGGCCGCGCTCGGCGTTTTCCGGTTGCGCCGACTTCACGCGCTGCCTTAGTTGGTTCACGTCGCCTCCCTACCCAGCTCGAGAGACAGACGGACAGTCACCCCTGGCGGCCGCACCTCTCCCGAAGCCGAGCAAACATTTTTGTGCGACCGAGCTGGGGAGGCCCCGCCGCCCGGCGCGTTTCCGGGGCGCGCACCCACCCTCCCTCCTCTCCGCGATGCGGGCTGCGCCGGCTCGGCAGGTGCCGCGGCCTCGGGTGCAGCCCCCCGGGATGCGACCTCCGCACCGCCGTGTGCACCTGAGCGGGAGGCCGAGGAGCCCTCCGAAGCCCTTTGTGCGGGAGGGCGGCTGCCGTAGAGAAAAGCAAGACCCGTGAGTCCCCAGAAGCGCGAGCCCCCGTGTCCCTGCTGCGGGAGTTGAAGACTCGGTGCGGGGAGCGCACACACCGCACGTGCGGAGATGAAGCAGATTCCTGCGGGAGGACATGTCAGACGGCGCAAAAGGAGTCCCCTGACCGGGAATCGAACCCGGGGCGTGGCAGTGAAAGTGCGGAATCCTAGCCACTAGGCTACTAGGGACAGGGCAGGCTTGTTCTTGCCTCTGTGGTACAGAAGCGATACCATTTGGCGGGTTGAGTGGCCGCCCACAGGTATTTAAAAATCCTTGAATATGTGAGAGGGGTTGACATGGTGAATATAAGGACACCGAGTCCCAGGAACCAAGGTTGAAGCAGCTAAACAGGTCTACCGAGGAGGTGTCACTTATCTGATGCAAACTTTTTTTTTTTAATCTGGTCTTTAAGATCCTTTAGAATCTGACAGAAGCAACATTTCCCAGCAATGCTAGCACATAAGCGTCCTCGCTGGGCAATTGGGGCACGAAGGACTCTGGCATTTGGGGGTCGAACTGAAGGGGAAGCATTTTCTTGGGTGTCCTCGTGCGGAGAGTCTAAGCGGAGAGGGAGGTCAGGTTCCTGCAGCGCAGGGTTTCCTTCCCTTCCCCTGAAGTGGTGGCAGGGAGGAAAGCGCTGGCCTGTGGCCCCAGATAAGGAAGGGGCGCAGCCTGCCTGCCGGGTTTGAAAGTTAAGCTCTAAGCACCACAGAGGCTCTTGCCGTGACTAGGAATGGAACCGAGGCTGTTGCCTACTAACCACTATAGAATCATGGCAGCTAAACCCGCAGTGGTGGGTCTGTCTTGTTCTGAGTTTTGACATAAAGGCATTCCGCCTAGTGCGCTTTGTTCTTGAACTGCAGGCACTCTTCTTTCCTGCTCGCTCTGTTTTCCCTTTCCTTCCTCTCAATTCTGATGATAAAATAGAACCCCCTAGCAATTCCCATGTCCCTACATACAGCCCTAGCCTCTGCCCCGACCCCTAGTAAGGCTGCCTGTCCTTGATCCCTGTCCTCCCCGCACTTTACCGCCTCTTCGCATTTGCCCCTTTTGAGACCCCCCACATCATCTTTCTGGCCCTCGCTGAACCAACAGCAGCCAGTCGCACAGATGGTGGGGTGCAGCCGAAGCCAAGCAAAGGGGAAGAATAATTGCCGGAGACCAGGGCCTTTCAACTTCCCCTGGGGCCACTTGGCTCAGGCCCAGGGGTTCGCAGGCCCTGCATCTCCAGGGCAATGACATCTGAGGCAGGCATGGAGCAAGGCCTTGGAGACCATTTGAATGCCCCATTGTATTCAGAATTGCCCAATGCACCGGTTTGGTTTCAAAAGTCAAAGGTACGTTAGTGGTTCCAGTCCACCCAGGGGATCCCTGTTAAATTTCAGAAAGCAAAATCATTTCTCCACTGCCCTTTCTCTATCAGCCCTTAAGAGGCGGGGCCCTCCTGCTGCAGTCTTTATTCTTGTACACATAGTTTGGCCACTTGTTCAAGCAATTCCGTAGGGTAGCATCCCCAAAGAGTTGTAGCATTTACATACTTTTCTATAGGATTCTATTTTCTCTCCTTTCATTGACTTATTACATAACACTCTTTATTTTGTGGTCCAGCATTTAAAAATCAGCTAATGTAATCCATTACATCAGCAGACTTTAAAACATACATCATACGATCATACCAATAGATGCAGAAAATCATTTGACAAAATCCAAAACCCAATCATGATAAAACGCCCAGCAAACTGGGAAGAAAGGGGAACTTCCTCAACTTAATAAAGACTATCAACAGAAATCTTCCAGCTAATATCATACTAAATAATTAGAAACACAAAGTATTTTCACTAAGATCAGGTTCAAGGCAAAGATATGCACTCTTGCCATTTCTTTTCAATATTGTACTAAAGTCTTTGCTGATGTAAGGAGGCAAAAAAAAGTTACACAGATTGGAAAGAAAGAAATAAAACTGCCT